ATATATATATATATATATATATATATATATATATATATATATATATATATATATATATATATATATATATATGAATGAATGTCAGTAGCTGAATATGCTTGGGTGGAGCACAGAGGTATATTATGTGGTTTGAAGTATTGTTGCTGGGGAAATCAGCCTTCACTCACTGTGGCAGATCATGGTAATGTTTGCAATGCACACTCACCAGATTGTGGTTGGTGGCATTGGAATCATCTTCAGGAAATGGTTTGGACACACCAAGGGCAACACAGTTAGCAAAGATGGCCAATAATATGAATATATCAAAAGGCTTAAAGGTCTAAGGTCAAGGAAACAATTGTCTTGAAAACATACAAGAGAATGCACACTCTCACAGATTTGCACACACACACACATTGGGCAAAAGGATATTTCCACTCCACCAGGGCCAGTGCTGCCATGCGTATAGGGTTGCTGAGAGTGAGGCAGCACAGAGCTCTGGGTGCACGAAGGGCTGATTTGTTAGCTTGTGTGTGCTTCTTGGCTCCTCCAGCTCTCCTTTGCCCTGCTGAACCCGTTGAGTTGAGTGTGTCCGTCTTGCTGGGGTCAGCCAAACTGGCCCCATCTGAAATAAAGGGTTTTCTTATTCAAACTATGTTGCCAACAAATGATCTCCATCTAATTTAAATATTAAAGGATAACTTCACTCAAAAAAAATAAATACAAAAATATGTTTCACACTTGAATGAGGGCTGCCATGCCTAGCACTTTAGTTTAGGGGCCAATTCTCACTATTAACTAGTTGCTTAATAGCATGCATATTACTAGCATATTGGCTGTTTATTAGTACTTATAAAGCACATATTAATGCCTTATTCAGCATGACCATATTTTAGATCCCTAAATCCTATCCCATACCTAAACTTATCAACGACCTTACTAACTATTAACAAGCAGCAAATTAGGAGTTTATTGTGGCAAAAGTTGTAGTTGATAGTTAATAGTGAGAATTGGTCCCCAAAATAAAGTGTGACCAAACTGACAAGTTACAAATCAGCACCAGCACATTATTCAAAAATTCTCCTTTGTGTTCATATGTGTTCAGAATAAATGATGACAAATTTTACATTTTGGGGTGAACTCTTGAGATCAGCTCACATCTCAAAACACAAAAGTGACCACAAAATAAGTGTTCAAGATGAACTATAAAGGCAATAAGAGCGAAGATAATTTAGCATTCAGTGAGATTTATGTGATCAGTTTCTAACATGTAGAGCCTATGATGTTTAATAAACATTATGCATTAAAAAAATAGTCTTCTGGCAGCCTCTTCAAAACCAATGACCTGCATATAAGTTGCATTTGACCTACACTGCACATACTAGTTAATCATGCAAAATAAATTTGGCATTCCCTATTCAACAGAACCTTACAAAAATGTTAAGCAACGTTAAAGAAAGAGGCCAGATGTGGCAAACAGATACTGTACACTTAAGACGCCTTATAAGGGATCGGGCTAAGTGACCTAGTTCTGAGAGAAACAGCTAGTATTTGACACTCCAAGAACACAATTCCCATTACAAACTCAACACATTACACTACAATTGCTATAAAGGGATTATTAAATCTATCTATCTATATATAATCTGACAGTATCTATCTATCTATTGCAAGAAATGCAAGGATATGAACTGCAAATGCAAACATGTAATTAAAATTTTTTTAAATGGTTACTGCACCCAAAATATATGGGCTAACTTCTATATTTGAATTTTAAAATGTAAAATGTAATTAGTCAATAACCTGTTTATTATTTGAGTTGAATGATGGAAGTCATCTACTGTGTTGGCAGTGTTTCAGTGCAGGTGTTTGCCCGATCACTCACCTTTCGGTACCGCATCCATGTCCACGACTTCTTCAACACCGTCTGCTGCTTATTCCCACGAACTCATGTGAAACAATAACTTACAACACCTTTCGTAGCTACTGACAATATCTATCAGGCGGAAGCGCGTCTCGAGCAGGTGAATCAGCTCACGCGCGCTGCACTGAAAGCACGCGACTCCAAAGACGGAATTTAAAAGCTAGGTCCAAAGACCAAAATATTTTTCTTAAATGTATTTACACGAATAAAAACACGTGGATTGTTCTATATGTAAAACTCATTCAAGAATACAAATGTCCAATGTCTCCCCGTGTGAGCGCAGGTCTCGGGTGCGGTAAACCGTGAATGCAGGATTAACTCGTGTGAGCCGGTTAACGGGGATGATTGTGCTCAAACCTTTCTACAGGGCGGTGGAGACACGAGGAGCATGCTAACCAAATAATCGAAGGAAAAGAAAAACAGAACATGAGACGAAGTTCAACTTTACGAGTCACATCCCTATTATAAATTCATTTTAATGATCACAGCGCCTCTAAGCGGTAGCAGACGAAAAGACAAAGACTGCAGATATATGAAAGTTTATTTATTATAACCATTGCAATGGACGAGCCCTTCTTGAAAATACAAGGCAGCTGCTGTTGTAAACATTAAATATGCAGGAAATACAAATGCCTTCATTTTTTGGATGGAATGAACACTTAAGCAATGATCTTCAAACATATTAAATAGCCTACCTCAAATAAAGTAAGAATTAGCATAGTGTCATATTTCATTGAATCGGCCAAATCTGTGGTCTGTTACACCTTCAAAGATATTCAGATGAATGTTTATTAGATCATTTATATATATATATATGACTACAGTTCGTATCTCTCCTTAAAATAAGATAATAATGCCAATTTGTGATGCACAATCCACATGAATGTAACCATGATTCATTTTCTTGATCACTCATTTGTGTTGCAATGACAGAGAAGTCTTTACCTTGGCACTGTGTAAGAGTGAAAACAGCCTGTAAACAACTTGAAACATTAAATAAAACTCAAAACAAGCAGTAAAAAAATCAAATTTGGTCATGTAACAAACAGATAAAGAGACATCCTTCAAACACGATTGACAAAATCAAGCACATTTAGGGATGGAATAAAGTGTAGGCACAATTAAATCCATAGAATGAAGCAAAAATGTGAATTGGATAACACTAACCTACATCCTATTTACAAGGCATTATATTGCGGTTTTTATATTTGGGCATCTATAGTTATACACACCTGATCCTGTAATCTCACTTCTTGCTTGACTTTTTGCTATCCTTCATATACTGCATCATAATTGAATCTATATATATATATATATATATATATATATATATATATTTGGGATGGGCGAGGAAAATCACATGTTGGTTTTACTATTTTGCAAGTTGTCTGAACAGTAACTAACTTCCCTATTTTAAAAACCAATATAAGATAACAAAATATCAAATAAAACAGAATTGCAGACATTAAGGCCAAAGTGGGTGAAGATAAAAATCTAAGGACAAAGATATACATTTCAAATACACATAATATGCAAATAAAACAAACAGTGCCTTATTTTTCAGGTACAGTAGGTGTATTTAGCAGTGGCATTCAAGAAACTGAATGAACAAATATAAAAACAAAACACTAGGCCTATACTGTATACACTGTATAAATTATTATAGTCTTAGTAAAGTTCATTTATCACAACAGTTTGTATATTATCATTGCGTCCTGTGTTATGTTTGATTTTGATGTTTACAGCCAGTTTATCATTAGGATGCGCACCAAGTAAAGCCAACAGCCGTTTAGTATTTTTGTTATATACTTTATTTTTTACATTTTGGGTCTATAAAATGGTTTTATTTGGTAATTTATATAAATGTGTATCTGGGATAATAAAGTTTCAGTTGTGATTCTGCATCATATTCCTTCTTTCATATTCCTTATAGCTGGTATAACTTCACACAACAAAATTGTGATTTTCACAAATTAAGTAGCTAAAGTAATATCCCATATATTAGTTTGCACATTTACTGTAAACCTAATTACTACTGTAAAAAAAATTATGCTGAACAACACAAAACAGAGAGCGAATGAATTTGCGTTAAAGTTTTATTTAGAAATGTTTTCATGAAAAAGACAAAATAGAAAAAAACAACATATTTAATCAAAAATACAAAATTTACACAGGGCCTTACATCCAGGACAAATAAAAACTGCCTCCAGACTTGCTCATGCAGTCCCAGTGATACCAGCCTTTGCAAGAATCACATTCGATCTAAACAAAATTAGATTTACACATACAAATGAACATATCTTGCAAGTTTAAAAATGCACTGTAATGTTAAAAAGAAAGAAAGAAACACATCCTAACACACCCAAGTGTCTACTTGGTCTTGTGTGGGGGGATATTGTTCTCAAGCACAGGCCATCAGGCGGTTCTGCATGTGGAAAGTAATCAATGTGATATACATTATATTTGTCATCACATGCATAATCCATCATTTCTTGTATATATTATAAAAAAATCATTTATATTCATTTAGATTTTCTATGATTTCTAATGTTTTCTCTGGCAGGCAGCACAGTGTGTGATATAAAATATCTTGGAAAAAAAACAACATATTTAATCAAAAATACAAAATTTACACAGGGCCTTACATCCAGGACAAATAAAAACTGCCTCCAGACTTGCTCATGCAGTCCCAGTGATACCAGCCTTTGCAAGAATCACATTCGATCTAAACAAAATTAGATTTACACATACAAATGAACATATCTTGCAAGTTTAAAAATGCACTGTAATGTTAAAAAGAAAGAAAGAAACACATCCTAACACACCCAAGTGTCTACTTGGTCTTGTGTGTGGGGATATTGTTCTCAAGCACAGGCCATCAGGCGGTTCTGCATGTGGAAAGTAATCAATGTGATATACATTATATTTGTCATCACATGCATAATCCATCATTTCTTGTATATATTATAAAAAAATCATTTATATTCATTTAGATTTTCTATGATTTCTAATGTTTTCTCTGGCAGGCAGCACAGTGTGTGATATAAAATATCTTGGAAAAACCTGTTTTGATCAGTAACAATGCAAATGTTTAGTATCAACACCTGTGGAAGGATTCACATATTTAAACTCACCCATTTTTTTTATGTCCACAGACATGCCAGAACAATAAAAGCACCTTCTAATGGGACCAGGGCCACCGTGTGAACATATTGGGCTACTGTGGAACTTGTCTTAAACTTCTTGGGCACTTTTTTTGCTGCTGACCACTTCTGCCAATGTCCCTTCTTTGCAAACATAATACAACACTTCATCTAAAAAGTAGTATAAAGTTGTGATCGATCATTATAGACAACCAGTGAAGCCACTGAACCCAGGTGTATTTCAAATACTCACTTTCAATAATGAAGCTCTTAGCTGATTTTTTTTTTCATGTCTGGAAAGACCCTCAGGTAGCTTTCCAAACCTTGTGAAATCAGCAAGGACTTTGACTTTTGCCTCATCCGTCTCGTGCCTCAACACTGCACTGACTTATTGGTTGTTAACTTGTTATGTTACCCTGTCTGTTGCCTCGCATGTTAAATTGTTTGACATCACACATTTGATTACATATATAATTATCCAGAACTGGTCACCATCACCCAATCATTTACACAAATGGGCCTTTATGTGATTTGAACTAAGGTGACCATGGTATAAAATTGATTTTAGAAAAAAAATATTGCTTGTTGGCTTCAAAAATACTCATTATGAATGTTGTTGTCGTTGTGTTTTATTATTATTTTAATTATAAAACTATAAACGGAAGGTAATAACTTTTACAATGAAATACTGTACATGTATGTTAAAGACAGTGTTTTAAAGTACGTAGCCCTGCACATAACATGTGGGGGACAACAAGATATTGTGGCCTCAAATTATAATTTTTTTCTTTAATTTTAGATAAACTGTGGCCACGTCATACTAATTAGTTCCCATTTTCTCGTTTTAGGTCAATCGTGACCCTGCTGTACTAATTAGTTTTTTTGTTTTTTTTTCATTTGAGGTAAATTGTAATCAGGGCCATGTTGTACTAATTACTTTTCCTGTTTTCTTGTTTGACACCTAATAATTCAAATTTTTGCAAAGAAAAATAGAAATGTGTTGTAATCCTCAAAAACAGAATTGGTATTGTTGTGTAAACGATTCCTTTGAAGTTTAATAACTCTCTGAATCATCCAAACCTATTCTGACAGGTGTAACTCACGATTCTGAAACTGCTGAGCTGTGTATCTTGTAAGAAGAATCCCGAATCCCTCGATTAGAGCAAGCAGAATTCCCCCCATCATCGCAGAGCCCACCATGGCTAGCGGACCACCTGAAATACAAACAAGCACATTGTGCACACTTGCAGAGGTCATTTCAAGACCAGAGATTAATGCTGCATGTATATACTATTAATACTACAGATCATCAGATGGATCTATTTCCAGTAGGTTGTTATATCTCATATATCTCCAAGGCTATAATACACTACACAGCTTTTTCGTAGATTTTTGGCCTAATTTTTAGTCTGGACAAGTCAATGCTACAGTAGTTTCCGAAAGTCAGACTGCAGATATTCAGAAGCTATAGTTGATAGATTTCAAAGAAAACGGTGTAGTGTTTAATGGGAACAGACAACCATTTTTTAGCTTCAGTTGGAAGACATTAAACATGTTTAATGTTCTAAAAAGATTTTGGAACACAAACTGTTTTCATTTTTCATGCTAGTCTCCTAGCAATGAGGCACAAGGTTTCTGCTTGAATTTGTTGTGGTAGTCTGTTATAGTGTGTAATCCTCAGTCGTTTAGTGTATGATGCCCCGTTTTTCTCTGTAATCTCTGTAATAAAGTCGACAAAATGACTGTATGTTTAAAATCTGTTCGTATTTTAAAAGCTGTGTAGCGTATTCCAACCTTATTGTCTAATATTGTGGAATAACACTGATAAAAGAAAAACGACTATCATGCTAAACGTACTGCGTGCAGCCAGTATAGCTCCAGTCATGGCTCCACTGGTGATGGAGTTCCAAGGGTCTTCCTTACCCCGCAAACGCACAAGACCACAGTCTATGGTGGAAAAGAGCCCACCCCATACAGCAAAACTACCTACAGGAGAAACAGACCCATAGCACAATTTATAGTGAATCACTGATATACAAAATGCTAAAACTAGTCATACACAACACAGTTTTATACAACACGATAAACAAACACAAGAAATGATTCTGCAACATCACCTCCAATTTGTGGTGCTCTTACTCTCACAGCATTTGCGCTCCCCCTAAGCCTGTGTCGTACACCCTGTAGTAACAGAGTGTGTTTATTATTAGTAACTGAATAGGAATGTGTATTAGTAATAGTAATAGTAATATATAAGCTCAGTTGTTTTGTTGGTGACAGTGAAGCTTACCACAGGTGCGTTTCGAAAGCCTTTAACAGACTGGAACACCCCTCCTCCAATGGCCCCCATGGTAAATGCACCGCCACAGTCATCAACTATCCTCCATGGACTAAAAAATATGAAATGAAAGAGCTATATTTTTAAGTCATTATCATATTTGATGCATTACTTTCTAAGGCCTCGAAATTATCAACATGATCAAAACCTTGCTGAAAAACCTGTTGTGCACAACCTACAACATGCCTTTTACATGCCTTACAACATAAAAGTTAATACTGTATTAGCAAGTAAAAGGATTTTAGTATAACTGTAAAAACGTCCATCATCAGGTCGTGGTTCACGTGTCTTATTGTTAGTATTGTTAGTAATATTTCAAGATAAACACTTACTGGATGTAATCAAATTAGGTGATTAGGTTACTTGATGATCATTTACCCATTGTTTTTAGAAAAATGTATTTTATCTAGCAAATTGTAACATTTATTTGTACATCTCTCCATCATCATTGTATTGCATAGTATAGGCCTATGTTTTGCCCCCACAATAAAAACTACAGTGCTTGATCAAAAAACATTTAAACATCATCTGACTAAGATATGTAGCCTATTGTTGGGAGATAAAGAGCGATAACCAATATCCATATGCATTTCATGTAAGTAGACTGCTACACTGTTATAAAGATCTCATTGATACATTACTTTTTGGCCATATAAATATCAGCATCTGCAACAAATTTCATAGATTTGTGCCTCTGAGTAAAACTGATGTATGTTTCCTCCTCGAAACTGAGCTCTATATATGAACCATATAGACCTGATACATACACATTCATATATATATATATATATATATATATATACACAGATATATACAGAGTTGGGAAGGTTACTTTGGAAATGTAATAGGTTACAGATTACAAGTTACCCTACTTAAAATGTAATAAGTAGTGTAACCTTTCAATTACTTTATTAAAGTAACGTAACTGATTACATTTGATTACTTTTCAAAATTTCTAACATTTTCAACTGTTAATCATTTTCAAACATGTAAACCAGGCAGGGTTAACCTTACAGTATGTGCTCAACACTGAAAACTGTCAGACTTTCAAACTCCTTCATCACTTGAAATAAGACTATAATATTTTAATTTTAAAGAAGACATTGGATGCAAAATATCTTCATTTGCATATAAAAATGTGTCTTAGCAGTGTGTGGACACAACCACCCTACAATGATAAAAAAAATCACTCATTTTTTTAAATCCCCCAAAAACCTAAAACACTCTCAATTATCAAGCCATTTTGATTTTGGAGTGAATACCAGCGCTCTCTTCCACCTTCAATACCACGACTGAGGTGAGAACCTTGAGCAAGGCACCAAACCCCCAACTGGGAGACATACAAAATGTGCAGGGCTGGGGGTACTCCAGGACAGGTTTGAGAACCACTGCTTTAAATCATTCTGAGGTTAAATACATATTTAAAATCATAACAAGAAATAGTTTAATAGCTATGATACTGTTTTTGAAATCAAATCTTTGCATGGCTATGAAAGGAAACACTGGAATCTAACAATGCCTTAGAAAAAAACAGTTACTCTTAAAAAAATAAAGCATATACATAAACCCTATAGGAAATATAAGAGTTATCGGATAAGCATGTTAGAAACTACTGAAACATTGGTGTTTCATATTTTAGAGCAGCCACTGCAACTTATGAAAGAACTCAATTAAATGTGCATGTGGGCGTGTGTGAGAAAAAATCAGATGTAACCGCCTTTGTAATCCTTAACATTTTCATAAGTAACTGTAATTTAATTACACATTTTTACTTAGTAACTGATTACAATTACTTTAATTTTGTAATTAAATTACGTAATTCCGTTACATGTAACTAGTTACTCCCCAACACTGTGTGTGTGTATACACACACACACACACACACACATATATATATATATAAGCCATAAACCATATATCAAATATGATACTAATCATAAATCACATTTGCAAACATTTTTAAAGATTTTATTTTATATTTTGTCTAATTTTTCAATAAACTGTTCTATTAAAAAACAATTTTTTTTCTGATTATGTCAAGCATTACTGGCATAAATCATTTAAGCACGTAATGTGATACTAAACAAGAAGTTAAAGCTGCAAGTGCAGTAAAACAGCGAGTTTATTGAGCCCCTTCACTTCTGAGCACTGCAGCGAGATGAGATCCCACATGATAACATGATTATCTAACACTCGCTGTAATAATATGTCAACAGTGCGTGAACTGAGACAGCAGCAGCTACTGTATGACCGCGGAGACATACATCGACACCAACATGAACGCAACCGAGAGCACACACTGCTTCACACAGTGTGTGTTTGTGTGTGTGTGTGTGTGTGTGTGTGTGTGCGCGCGCGCGCTGGAAGGTCGTCGAGAAAAATTTTCCGAAGCACAACAGAAGAAATCCTTCATTTATACCTAAGAGTTTTTATTTATTTTATTGTTTTATTTGTCATTTAAGGGGATTTTTATTTTTTCCCTTTTAGGAGGATATTTACTAATGAAACGCATGGTGCATTTATATAAGAAAATTAAACTGAATGAATGAATTAAAATAAATTGTACAGTAACTAATTTTGACACATGACACTAAGCCTGCAGACTATTAAAATAATAACTGGATTATTATTATTCTTTGTATTTGTCTATTGTTAAAAGAGATAAATATGATTATTAATCTGTTTTATTCTCACAGCAAACGAGGCATTCGTTGCATCCAGTGGGGACATATTTATGGATTATAATGACTTATACAGTCTTTTTTTCGTTGTGTTGCATTGCATCGCGCTGCGTAAACATAAAACCATGTCTATTTGTGATCGGAGAAATGACAAACAAGAAGCCCTACTCTAAGTGGGGACATAATTACGGATAATAATGACTTATACTGTCTTTTTACTGTAGTCTACTCTACCAGGATCAGCAGGAAGTCCTCCATAAAATGTGCTGCACACATCTGAATATTTGGGTTGAACTGTTCTGGAACAGTGTTGTAAATACAACTTAACCACTGATTTCTAGTTTCCTCTTTTGGAAGACCAAACAAAGTAGTTTCGCTTTCACAATGAAACACAGCGTCACACACGGTGACCTTGAGTGAACGGAGGCCGGAGGCTAGAGTGAGGAACGGCCGGCGGATTCGACGGAGGAGCGGCCGGCGGGCTTGCGGCAACCCCATGTTACGCGAAGTTGATGTATTCCCTCAGCGACCAGCACAGATCAGCTCTAGGCATGACGAAGCAGATATCGTCCTCTTTTGGAAGACCAAACAAAGTAGTTTCGCTTTCACAACGAAACACACAGCGCCTTCACGACATGGCGGTGGCGGCAACAATACTACAGCGAGAATAAAAGTTACGCCTTCTTTCTTTGCATGAACATTTGGGCGGCGTTATGCAAATCTTCCCACATAGTGATGTAGATATGTGGGGGCGTGTTAGAACGAGCCGTTTTAGGTAGGCGTGGTTGACTCTTAACTTTTATAAAGAATATCTCTTTGGATTTGAGACTTTAGTTTTTGCAACTTTACAGATCTTCTTTATGCACCAAGAGCTTGTAACACTCCAAAGAGAAAGGAAACATTTAAATAGCATCATATGACCCCTTTAATACCTCATTC